CTTTCCCTATATTTTTATAAGAAAAAAATACCTGTTCTGTGGCAGGATATTGACCCTCTTACGTTTCAACCAGAGGGCTCTTAATTGCTTGAGCTAATAAGGCAACTAAATATAGTCAGCAATCTTTCTCCATAGGGACATAATTACAGGCATGTAAAACACATTGCCAGCTATTTGCCAGGTATTTGCTACAAGAAAAAAAAAGGGAGGTGGAAGGCGATGTTTGAGGGGTGTCGCAGATTCAAGAGCATGGTCTGTCTGAACAGACACAGTCAAGCTTTTGCCCGCTCCTCCACTGCTTAACTCTTCTTCCTTACCTCTAATCTGTCACAGCTCTTCATCTTTCACAAATTCAGCCTCTGGCCTGCTCCCCAAATGTTTCATACAGTCACAGCCTCACCATCCTCGCCAGTCCCAAAAACCCTGGTGTTATCCAGGCAATCCTAACTCATTTCTGCTGGTCACACAATCTGCCTCTTCCCTTCCAACTGCTACTCCTTATCCAATGATCAGTCTTCTCCAACCACTTCCTGAGTCTTTTTTGCTTCATTTCCCCTATCTCAGCTCCTCTGCCTGGCCAGTTCAGGTCACCCTCTCCTTCTTTAAGCTCCTTGTCAGGCCTGTCAACTACCACTTAGTAGTCTTCTCAAACATTTAATATGAGATACATGGTACACATTGCTTCTTGCTTTTTTTTTTTTCCCTTTGGAGAAGCTGCTGTTAGTCTTCTAACTCAAACAGCTCTAGCCATTCCTCCTCACAGCTTGAGATTTACCTAGACAGTCCTGCATTCTGTCCAGGTCTACTTCTCTTCTCTCCAGACCTTGTTCAGCTTTTGGCCCATCTGTATTAATGTAAAAGGCAGTCCAGATCTGCAATGTTGAGGCTTCAGCTTTTAGTGCGGAGCACAGGGCAAACAAGAGCAAACTCTTATCTTCAGACCTGGATCAAGATGTTCTGCTACTTTATTAGGGTACCATCCATACCACCTGCATCACAGGAGTGCTCACAAATCCAGTACACCCAGTTATACAATTCTTACAGAATCATCCATCTACACGCTTTGGGTTTTTTTAGTTTCACAAATCCTACAAAGCAGAGAAATGTCACCTTGAAATGTTACAGCTCTTTTCAAGACTACAGTGAGTGAATTCAAGAATGACAATAGGGGGTACAGATTTTACAGACAGAAACTTGCAGCATTGTTCACATTTACTATCCTGCAACTTCCCATACTGCTACAAGCTACTTACTATCATAGCCACAAAATATATATAAATGGTCAGGTTATGCCAAACCTCAATAAAATTATCTTGTTCATCCCGATTTAGACATTCGTCTGCTGATACACTGCATAACTCTTTTCTGCTGTGTAGCAGTGACTTCATAGAGCGCAGTACACCTTCACCAAAACTCTGAAAAACAATGAAAAAAAAAATAAGACAAAGAAAACACATTTTCAGGTTTGGATACAGGGCCCATCCATCTATCCCCTGCCCCCCATAGGTTTCCCTACTCTAAATACTGTTTCAAATCACTTTGTATATAAATCACCAGGTTTCAAGTTGAAATTTACTTCAGGACATGGAATTGAAATGGGTAAGTTGTTTTCTTCAAGCAAAACTTTTATTCCAAAAGAAGTTGACCGTTCTGTATTTTAAAAAAAAAGATGAGAACATGCAAACTTTGAAAAAAGAAACAGATGAATCCAAGAAAAAATCCAAGCCCCTTCTATTCCTTGCATCAGAGCCTTTATATAGAACTTTTCCATCAGCTTTTCCTTAAAAAGGATGAAAAGCACATTGAGCCAAGAAAAGTAATGAAGGTGGCTTCAAAAGTCAGAGGGGAAGAAAACAAACAAACAAACAAAGCCACCAAGAAAATCCACACACATTCTCCGTCCCTGTTCCTTGAAGAATATGAAAGAATTATAACTTAACCCCATGTAATTACTTCTTGTAACATTTCTTTTATTTACACTTATGGTGACATGCAATCGCCCACAGATGGCTAAAAAAGGCTTAAGAATCTAAGAACTTCTCCCAGTGTAACGAAGTGCAGCAGAACAAAAGAATTATCTTCACTGGTATCTGAAGTCAACTAAATCAAGACGACAGAACAACAACAAAAACTGGTTCACTCAGTTCGTAAAAAAGAAAACATCCTCTCACTTTTTTTAGGAAGTTAGCAACCTTTTTTTTATTTTAAAATTGTCATCTTCTCTAGCAAGTGGTAAGATTAAGAAGAAAAATAAGATCATGATGTGGTTATGAATTGTTAATCCAGTTATTTATTCCCTATATGATTGTCCTGTTAAAAATGAAATGAGAAATCAGTATGCCCAACTTACGACAAATTATTTGAAATTTGCATAGCTTCTTAAACAATATTAGAAGTGCTAGATAGCCAAACTGAGTCAGAGAATGTTTTGCGTTTCTGATACTCCCACAGCAAAAACAATCTGTTTATGGTAAAAAGTGATTTACCTATTACAGTTAAACCTCAAAAAAGATTCTCCGCCCTGTAGAAAAATATGGTATCAAGTACTACTGCATGAGAAGCCCAATTATTATAGCATGGCCAGCATCACCATCCTTGTGCTCATAGTGATACAAAATTAGTAAAGTATTTCTAGAATGCGTAGACAAAAGCAAAATAGAAACTTCACTTTGGGATCATTGACATTACCAAAATATATTTCAGAACGTTAACAAACAAGGCCCAGACTACCACTCTTACAGCCAAGGCCAAGTAACATTAAAGCAGTCAAAACAGTAATTTTTGTGGAAAAGTAACAGCTGAACTATTTTAAAATTCATTTAAGGCAGTTTTTGGGTCATACAAAATAAATTAATGAACTATTAATCTAATTTCCACTTTCATCTATTCCTTTGTCCCCACGTTTAGTTGCAATTTACCTCCACACTTCAGTACTATTATCTTTGTGCTTTCCAAAGTATGCTGGCAGTGTCTTTCTCTTTGATTCTCTGGATCTTCCAGATTTACAGGTGGGCTATAATACCAATATTGCTCAAAGACTCTCCCCCCAGTAGATCCCCCATTCATCTCATACAAAAGTCATTTGTGAAGTCAAGCAAGCACATTGAAATGCCTCATTTTCAGCTTCTACAATAGCTTAATCAGTCACAGCAAGAGTCATGCAATGTGAATTGCTAATTTTCTGCAGATCAACAGTGATCCAGTTTGACAAGGGCTTATCATTATTCTCTAGTAGATAGGTTTTCTAAGGCTACAAATTACTACATATACCTTATTTATAAGCAAGTATTTTTCCCTAGTTTAACATCCTGAAAGAAAAGGCAGGATGGATAACTAGAACAGGAGTAAGGTATTAGGAGCTACTATAGTTGAGGCGAAGGAAAATTCAAGATTTTGGAGAATACAAAGTTGAAGAAGAAGAAAGATGCAACAACTGGAAAGATCTCCTTCAGGTCTGGAAGAATCAGCATACAAGACTATATGTAGGTCTGGTAGCACACTGATGGTGGCCCTACATAACTGAAGAGATAAAATAACCATATTTAAAAAAGGAGGAGGAAGGAAGTGATGTGTGTTTTTAAGATCATATTAATGAATGTAAGAGTTCAGAACATGGAAAGAACAAAGATATGGAGATTAACAGGCACAATACAGACATAGAGAAAAGATCTCATCTATCTGGACTTCCACATATTATTTACACTGAAATATATGAAGAGTTAACAAAACCAGAAAAAGACAGGGTTTACTTCAAGAGCTGTTTCTGGAAAAGAAAATTTTGCCTAAATGGAGTTAGGAAAGGGGTTTTTTTGAGGATATAGGAGATGTAGGTCAGTAAGCCAATAACCAACTTCCTCAAAATTTATCTTGAGACTGAAGTCAAGCATCATCATGATTAATAAATATAATGGGAAAAAAAAGTAAATATATAGATGAAATCTGATGATAAGTCAAAGTAAACAGGAGTCATCAGTTAAGAGGAAGAATAGCATATCATACAGGAAGAACTTGCTCAATGCGAAAGTATTTTAAAATGCAACCATATGAAGTACAATGTCCTTAAAAACTAAAAGCAAGCTTTAAAATAGAATTGCGAATTCACAAGTTGGGAAATAAGAGACCTTAGTTGACTTCTTGATCATGGTACAGCAATGAATGGTCAATATGATACAGCACTGAAAAGAGCAAACATGCCCCTAGTACACATCCTTTAGTAAAAGAACTGACATCATCAGAGTCACTTACAAGTCCTGTGTAATTGCACATACAGTATCATCCACATGTAAAAAGAAGATTAACTCACAACAAGCACAGAAAGTAGGACTATGAAGGATAATCGCTGGAATGCAGAGGCTTTCATACAAAAGTAGACTAAAACCTTAGTTTACAGAGTTTCCAAAAAACAAGGCTACCAGAGGACAGATCACCAACTGTAAAAACATCACGAGGGTGAACATCAGCAAAAGAAAAATAACTATAAAAGCTGAAGAAAAATGACATCCATGAACAAACAGGTATAAATTTGCTGTGAATAGCTTCAGCCTGAAATTCATAAGATTCTTAGCTATTACAGCAGTGTGGTTCAAAAAGACTTAAAAACAGTAGTTTGGGGTTTTTTTAATCTCCCCTCATTAATTTTGAGACTATATTTAATAACTTTTTCATATTCTTATCAAAATTGTGCTTGTGACTGCAAAAGACTGCACTCAATTTCAGAGAAATCCTCCTATCCAACAGACAATGGAAGCAAGTTCTCTCACAACCCCAGTCTAGGAGACACGCAACTACATCAACAACTGAAAACCAGCAAGTTCCCAAGACTATCAACTCAGTTTAGATAAGGACAAGCGGTCATCTTCAACAAGAGGATGTCATTTGTTTTTATAAATAGTACAACTACTTCCAACATACATAGACATACGGGCAAAAAACCCCAAGCAATCTATAAGGCTCCACTTGCTAGGCCTGTATACTCCTTCCTCACAGAAATCTGAAAGTCACATCTGGCGAGAAATCCTATTTCAATAGGAGCGAGCACAGATTTCAGACCTACTAAGTCATACTAGGGGAAAAACACAAATATCCTCAAATGTGCACAGAGCAAGACACACCTGAACAATGAAAATCCTCATCCTGCCTCTAGCTCAAATGGGCAATTCAAAGTTTTGCATTGTGGTCAGCAAATCAAGAAGTCATTATCTATGGATCCTTCACAGTACACCGGAGGAAATTCTATCGGTCTCGTGAACTATTTTACACAACTGCTTTCTAACATTTCAAATAACCCACAAACCTGTAAGATGCCATGATCTGCGGAGAAATCAAGTCCACTGCTGGAGAATCATGCTTACTCTGCTCTTAAGTAACAAAACAGCTCTTCCTGATTTCATGTGCTGTAAGATTTAAATGGACTGAATATTTTGAAGTAATTTTATAAAAATGGAAACTCAGGCTTTAAATGTGCATACCACAACCGTGCACTGACTTTTAAGAGCTAGTACTGCAACAATTCCTGTGAAGTATTACAAAGAGGACACAAATCAGACCACAAGCTGTGAATCAACAGAAGATGAAACATAGTGCGATTCTGACCACCCTACTGCCTGGCTCTGTGAGAAAGAAAGTAAGTTCCATACTATAATCTAAGTAGCTGCCCCTCAGGGAAACATCAAGAGAAGGCAGCCATAGATCAGAACACTGGAGTCTGGCTGTATGAAAATGTACAATTCTGCAAGACACCCGAGAAGGGTCGACTTCACGTTCCTAGAACCACACAGTCCAGAATGCTCAATGGCAATTAACAGAGCAGTTCACAGAGCTAATGTTTCAGGCAACCATTAGAATCATGGAGAAATCACTGGTCACTGTCATTATGAGAAAGATGTTTCTGCAACACAAAGGTCTAAAAACCTAGGGGGTTGTTGTTTTTTTTTTTATTTAAGGGCAGACTAAAAAAGTCCTCCAAAAATCCAGTTTATGTTCAGGTTAAGAATACAAAATGACTTGACTGTAGTTAAAGAACTCTATTTGAGCTAAAGATTTCTCATAAACCAATAAAATAAAAGTTTTTATACTGTGTGTCTCAAAGTGAAAGACTATCACCCATAATTACAAACTGCTTAATGTATGGCAGTTAACATTCTGTATCAGGACCGGAACAACTGATTACCTGCCTGGCAGTCCCATAATGCTTACCTTTGCCTTCAAGTAATTACTACAGGACCTATACCACTGACACTGTTCCCTTAAAACAACAAAATCTGCTTATGGAATAAAATAATGGAATTCTCATGTGACAATACACTTCCTTGCTCAGTTTCTCCTCTTAAGCGTTGCACACACTTGCGAGTGAAGAATTCATTAGTAACCAAGAAAGATCTAGAAAAATACTCATCTGTATTCAACTACTTTGAGAAATATGATTGGATAAATAAATTTGTTCCTTCAGGATAAACTGCAACTTTCATTTGAGTAAATGCTTATAGAAGTTGCAAGAAAATTTGAGGAAGAGTATTTACGTTCTCCAAGCTAAAGTGACAAAATTTAAAAGAATAAATAAATAAATAAATAAATGCTGTTGGGGAAAAAAAAAACCACAAACCACTAATATCTTCCATAAGTGTTAGACATATTTTTTTTTTCACTAAAGCACTGTCTAGAAGTTCATGTAAACACAAGGATAAGCCAGTCAAGAAACCAAGATCTAAAGATAAAGATATTACAGTAAGTCCTAACACAGACTTCACAGAACAGTTTTCAATGAACACTACATATTTATGTTTTAATTTATTACATATAAACTTGAAAAATCTGTGTTCAAAATAAAACAAGGCAAATTTTAGCAAATAAATACATCATTATTTCGTATCACCTTAAAACAAAAGGCAAAGACAAAAGGCAAAACCATGCACCCCTTTCTTAAATTATACTGTGTCCCAGTTCAACTATGCTAAATATGCCAAAGCATAAAGCAAAGGCAATTTCTTCGCCCCCTTGAAATGTTAGACAACCAAAATTAAAACATATAAGGGAAAAAAAACCCAAAAGCAACAAGCCTACCAGTTCACTTGGTTCATTATTAGACTGTTCTGATAAAAAGCGAAAAGCTCCAAAATAATTTTTTTTTAAAATACAGATAATTACCTTTTTCACAGATATTCTTGGTTTCATTCGATTTCCCTGAGCCCTGGCGTACATATCCATGATTTTACCAAACTTAGTATTCGATGAAAGAAGTCACCTCAAAAATACCTAAGAAAAACATTTATACTTGATTATTTTATGTTACCCTGTTTAGTTTGTATACATTTTGAAAATGCAAGTAGACAAAACAAGAACCAATAAAAACAATTTAAAGGCATTTTAAAACTGAGGAAGATTAAACAGCACACCATCCATAATGACTGTTGCCTTTCAAAAAGTACTGCCTTAATGATTTTTAAAACAGTGCACAAAACATAAAACACCCACCTTACAGTTAGTTTGAACATTTTTCTTTAAGTAGATTTCAAGGCTGCACTGGCCGGGGGGAGGAACATGACATTAAATATTGTTTCCCTATCACTGATATTCTGGTGAAGTTTATCAGCAGATTCCTGTACCATACAACGCACTGGAAGTACCCTTCAACAATCTCGAGAGGAAAACGTACTGCTTACCCACTCAACCAACTGGCCTATTTATTTCTGTCAACTATAAGTACTACAGACAAACAGATGTGACTCCTGTTTAGGCTAACATGTATCAACAGTCTTGTTCTCTGGCACCACTCTGGACAGTCCTGTCTCTGCTGGCAAAACACAAGGGACCAAAGATGCATTTACCAGCACTCTTACTTCACCAAAGCAGGTCAGAAGAGTTTCTGCTCGAGTCAGCTACCCCCCTACTGATCTTAAGTCTAATTCTAACAACAAGAACAACAACAAAAAAAAATAGCAATTAAATCAAAACAAGTTTTTCAAGTTTCCCTGTTCAATCAGCAGCAATGAAAAGAAACAGAATAATCTAGTCTGTTTCATTCATCTCTACATCCTCCAAAACAGGCAATAACTACAGGGTATTAATAAAGACAGAAGGCATGTGGTCAGCTTTTAAGCTCAATGGAAGTTTTAATACTTCATCTTTTCCCATGGTCACACAATGTAGCCAGGAAAAAGAACTCCTAGACTCAAAATAAACCAGGTAAGGAGCAAATGCATGTAAAAATGACTGCAAAATAAAAAATAAGCACCAAGACATCAAATTACAGGTCTCCCTTGCAGAGCTGACCAGCTTGGTTTTCTTAATCTCATCTCAAGCACGTATTTAAACTTGGAAGGAGGATCCGGGGAACTACAGGCCTGTCAGCCTGACCTCAGTGCCGGGAAAGGTCATGGAGCAGATCATCTTGAGTGCCATTAGGTGGCACGTGCGGGACAACCGGGGGATCAGGCTCAGCCAGCATGGGTTTATGAAAGGGAGGTCCTGCTACACTAACCTGCTCTCCTTCTATGACGACGCTACTCTCTTAGTGGATGAGGGGAAGGCTGTGGATGTTGTCTACCTGGACTTTAGTAAGGCCTTTGACACCGTCTCCCACAGCATTCTCCTGGAGAAGCTGGCTGCTCACAGGTTGGATAAGTGCACTCTACGCTGGGTTAAAAACTGGCTGGACGGCCAAGCCCAGAGAGTGGTGGTGAATGCAGTCAAATCCAGTTGGCGGCCGGTCACAAGTGGTGTTCCCCAGGGCTCAGTACTGGGGCCGGTCCTGTTCAATATCTTCA